TCATGAAAGAACTCACACTGGGGAGAAACCCTATGTATGTAAGCAATGTGGAAAAGCATTCAGTAGACACAGTTATTGTCAAATACATGAAAAGTCACACTGAAGAAACTAGGCATTGTGGGAAGCATTCAGTACATGGAAATATTGACAAAAGTATGAAAGATGTCTCACTTTGGAAGAACTATGTATATAAGCCTATTTTGATCATTTCTGATGTAGCAGAGACCTGTAGAAATGACTTATATGAAAAGCTTGATGTTACTTTTTCTTAATAAATTTTCCAGAAAATGCACACCCAGATGGAAATATCCTAAAGTATAAACACTTTTTCAATAAATCTTTTAATTATGTATCTGTGGTATTCAACATGAAAATATACATTTATTTGACATTTTTCTGTAAGCAGTTTTCTTTGAGTCAAATACATAGGGTTTTAATTAAGCAAGGTGAAATATATTTGTCACATATAAGTACAGTTAGTATTCATGTAGTTTGCTTTTTGTTTTGATTTGTTTTTATAATTTAGAGGTCTAGGCCACTAAAACATAAATTTTGGTCTTTGTCAGGATTTTTTCTCTAGCTTTATTTTAAATTCTTGGTGTATATACTCCATCTTCTGTGTAACAATAGATATTTTTAATGGAATGCTATATTTTATATTAAGATATATATATATTTGCAGACTTGTGTACATGTGCTTTTGACAAAGTCCAGTTTTCACACAACATGTAGATTAGCAAATGATTTTCATATGATGACTAGATCTCTGCATCTATCCCAATATAACTGTTACAAAAAGTACACATTTTTTCCTATTTTTCTTTCATAATGGAGCCAACATTGTCATTTACATAAAATTTTGTTTTTAATATCAAAATTTTACCTTTCACCCTTACCTTTCCGTGACTTTTGATAGTAATTTTCCTACCACATGTACCAAAAAGTAAACCATACTGCAGTGAGTTCCCAATTCCACAGACCAGCAAAGACCATAACTTTTCTCCAGTAGGCTATGAATTATAATCTGTCCAAAAGGCATAAGTGGTATGATTTATCAGTGCAACAGTTTCAGAGGAATTTTTTCAACGTTGGAATTGTTTTGAAGAGAATGATTGCTTTTGAATGTAGTGAGGGAGATGCCCTTATTCTTATTTGATAAATATTTTTATGTAAGAAGCTAAAATAATGGCATGAAGGAAAACCTAACTCATAAGTATCAGTTCAGCAAAAAGAAGAAATTTATGATTCAGACTGTTCTGTTTTACCAATCTAAAGATAAATTTATACAGTGCCCTTTTCCATTATCCATAAAGTCCACTGTCTGATGTTTGAAGCATGTGAGAAGTACCTTCAAACACATAGACTTGCCCAGGTGAGCATGAGGCAAATTTGATCTCCTTGATGTGTCTTTTGCCTTTCTTTTAAACATTGAAATATTTGTGAAATGATTTGTACAGTGTTCTTCATGAATATTGAAGCTGCTCAATTTCTCATGGGCTTATATTGTTGTCAACCTATGGTAACCCAAGAACATAATGCAGCAATGCATTAAATACCCATAGTGGACTTAACATTGTAGCTTGCTCTAGCCTTAAATATATGTTGGTGCCTAAATTACCATTTAGGTAGTATTATCTAACATCTCTTTATATCTGAAATATCTTATGTAATTTGTGGAATATAATAACATGGCAGAGTGGGATGCCATTTTTACACTCTAGAACAAGTGATTGCCCTGCTCACTTCTGCTTTTACCATCACTAGGAAGATGTATTGTATATATTGCTATTTCTAATACAGCCAGTGTTGAAATGTTAAAAATTCAGGGCATTTTAAGTGAGGCACGTTTACTTTCCTGTTATTTTACCACGAAAAAAAGTCTTGCTGGTCCTGGTGATGCACGCCTGTTAGCCCACCCAGTTAGGAGGCAGAGGTGGGAAGAAAATAATTGAGGCCAGTCTGTGCAACTCAGTCCTGTCTCCCAATAAATATGAAAGTTCAGGAGAAGTACTTCTAGGTTTACTCCCCAGTATCAAAATTACTTTAATGCAAAACATTCCACATTACTATTTGTTGTTTTCTCAATTAATATGTCAGAGTTCAAGCCAGATGTGATCATGATTCCTTTAGTCCCAGCATCAGAAGTGGCTGAGAGGTCTGCCTGGCTTTGCAGCCACCATGAGCAATTTAGCTAGATGCCTTAGTGAATTACATAATAGTTTTCTTTATATCTGCATTATAAGTTTAAGGAAAGAAATAAATTCAGGCTTAGAACATAAACTAGGATGGGATAGAGAAAACATCACTATTGTGTCGAGATTTTGTTGCTCAGGAAATACTCTTTTCATGTAATATTTGTACCCATATTCCTACATCATGGACTAAAATATAAACAATGAAGCATGAATAAGCTGGACATTACATGTTCTGAATATAAAGATGTGAAAAAAGATAGGTTTCTCAGTGCAATTATGGGTTTTTTGGGTAGAAATTAAGGTGGGATGACACAGTGAACAAGTGGGATTATATATCAAATTTAAAAGCATTGCACAAACATGGAAATAAACCAGTGAAGAAATAACCTACAGAATGGGAAAAAATTGCCAGCTACTTCTCAGAATAGTATCTAGAAGATGTTTTTTTTAAAAAAACTTAAAAATTAGGCACCCAAAAATAAAAGGCCTAATTGAAAAAATGGGCAAATGAGGTGAGTACACACTCATTAGATGAACTACAGATTGCCAATAAATACCTGAAAAAGTGTTCAGAACCTTTGGCAATTAGAGAAATGCAAACTGAAAGAGCATCTTACTCCAGAAAAAAACAACTCATCAAGAATTTTTTTAAAAACTGACAAAAAAGTAGAACACCTACAAGGATGCAAGTAGGGAAAAGAACCATTCAACATTTTTCTAGAAATTTAAACAAGCTCAACTACTGGAAGTCAGATTATTCAAAAGACTAAAATAGTTATTCCATTCAATGTAGTCCTTCCTTTTCTGGGTATGTATCTTTCCATAAGTGTTTGAAGACATCCTTTCTTTTCTTTTTTTTTGAGACAGGGTTTTGCTATGCAGTCCAGTCTGGTTTTGAATTCACTATGCAGCCTAGGATGGCTTGGAACTCATGTGATCCTTCTGCCTCAGCCTCCTAAGTGCAGGGATTACAGATGTGTGCCACCACACTCAGATAAAACATCCTATTTCAGTAACATGCATATTCATGAATCCTGACATGCCTATCAACAGAGGAATGGATAATGAAAACGTACATATAAGCAATTGATTAATACTTGGGGATGAGTAAATTTAAATCATTTGTAGAAAAATGCCTCCACAGTATATCATAATACTGAAGTAAATCAGGCATAAAATGTGATACATGACTATTACAATATGAGAAATCCCAAGTATAAATAAAGAGCAAAATAAGTTTTAGATAATGGGAAAGTAGTTACTTTACAGACAAGAAAAGGAGCTAGTGAGGGATTAGGGAATGGAAAGTAAAGGGCTCAAGATGCACATGTAACAACTCTCCACCATAAATGAATTCATTATGACTCAAACATACTAAAAGATAAAAATAAATACAACTTTAATTTAGAAAAAGGAAGTAAGTTGGTTAACATATGGAAGGACTTCCAGTTATCAGATGAATTTTAGGGCCATACAGAAAAGTGAAATTGTGTAGAAGCTATGGATGTGTTATGTATTTTCTCTATGAAGATTAAGCATCTGATTAGTGAGCATGTCATCCTTGATTCCTTTCTGCATATATAATACCCACTCAACCCTGCTGGAGCAACTGCTTGGTTATCTATTGATGAAGGGCAGTGCAAATCGTGTGTTGAAATCCTCACCTACAACATTATTGAATTTGGATTTGAGACCTTGATGTAAATAGATTTCTGCCTTTTCCAATATTTAGATGCTTTTGTAGCATTCATACCTCCTAAGGAGAGAAGAAAAAGGAGGAGTTGTCCCTTTTTTCACCCTAGGAAAACACTGTGAGAAGACACTCATTATCTGCAAGGCAAGAAGTTAACCTTCACCAGAGGCCAAAGTGGCCAAAACCCATATCTTACACTGTATCTGAGGACAGATATATCTGAGAGAAATAAAGTATGTTCTTTCTGCCACTCAAATTATGACATTTTGTTTTATCATCCTAAGATTTCTAACTCCTTCAGCTGTTTTTTTGCAAATTAATGATAAAATATATAGGATAATTGTTGCTTGACCTACCTAAAATTATATCAAATTTTTCTCTTTTCTCCACAACTATCTTTACACATGTTGTAGTTTCTAACATAAATACTATTCTGATTTGCCAAGAGTCCAGACAGAAATTTCTCTATGGAGATTAAGCATCTGATTAGTGAGGATGTCATCATTGCACTCAAATCTATAGTGAGATAATGATGAATGTTTTTAACTACTCATAGTAGTAGAGAAAACACTAATCATGTAGAAAGTGACAAGCCAGTAACACCAAGCTGCAATAAGATACAGTGCACATAAGGGACAAAATGTAAAGATACCAGAACTCAATGATACCAAGAGCTACAAATTTTAAATCACATGCACTATAGCTAGTAAAAGACAGCAGGATGTCCATAATCTGAGGACACAAAGGTGGTTGGCAGGAGAATAAATAGCCTACTTTCTCTTTCCTCTTAACTGTAGCTTTCCTGCTGTTACCTCCCACTAGCTGAAGCAAGCAAAATCCAGGGTGTGTGGCAGTGTCAGTGGTGTGGAACTAAGAAGTCAGCATGTTAGGGGACAGTGGGAGGAGACTGTGACTCTACCAGGTAAGACGTTTTCACTAGCACTTGGCTGGTTTCTTATAAGAAACTCTGATCAGGTACCATAACTTTGAAAAATTATTTTGTGCATTTCTCAGTGTGAAGGAATGTTACTTTCTTCACTGGCTTCCTATGACCTCTTGTCATTAAGCTTTTAATACTGCAGTTGATGAAATGTAATGTACCCTTATCTCATATCAGAGAGGGAGAATTATGATGTTTCCACTTGAGATATATTGGACGTAAAATAGTGGAAAAGTGATTATGTGCAGTGCAGCATAGTATGCAACCTTGTTATCTCAGTCACTTAGGACACTGAGGCAAAAAGATGGCAAAGTTGCAACTAACCTGAGAATTTAAGGAAGTCCCTTATGAAAATAAAAATAAAATAAAATGCTCTGAAAATATATCTCCACCTTAGGACCCTTGTCTAATATACACAGGCCCTGATCACAATCTCCAGTATTTCAAATTGAAGTAAACTCACACACATTCTTCAGAAAACATACTTTGTTTTTAAAATAGTATCCTTTTTGCTCACAAGTGACTTGTGTTACAGTACTTACTTTTGCTGTTGGGCAGCAGTAGTGAGCCCTGCTCTGTCGACCACCAAATACCAAGGATAAACAACAAGTACTCTTCAATGTACTCTCTTTAATAAATTATATGTGATATTTTGAATTTTGTTATGAGATAGACTCTAAGTTACATTTTTTTCCTGATTACTGATCAATATAACCATAAGCATGTTGATGTAACAAGGGCTTACCTATAATGCTCATTAGAGGAAAATATATATATATATATATATGTTGGTTTTTTGAGACAGGGTCTTGCTATGTAGTTGAGGCTGGCTTTGAACTCACTATGTAGCCTAGGGTGGCCAACTCATGGCAATCCTCCTGCCTCAGCCTCCCAAGTGCTGGGATAATAGGTGTGCACCACCATGATAGGCAGAATGAGTATATTAAATGCATATTCAACATATTTTATTTCA